TATGCATAAATCAATAAATCAGACGTAAAATACAGCAAATACTCTCACTAGTGAAATCAGTCAGCGCAAACATATGCAAATGAGTCGCGAGCGATAACATAACGTACCGAGCAGAAGTCACATAGTTGAAACAATTCAGCAACAAAACCTTTCAGAAATATACAATAATGTCAACTGTATACTAAAAAATGAATTGGAAAACATAGTAGAATAACAAACTGTACATACCAGCGTGCTTTACTTGGCGTCGCTCACTACACAACAAGTTTCTCCGATCAACAAACGGCTGACTGCACGAGACCAGGTCAAACAAAAGTCTAATCCCCATCTACCAAAGAGGGCGCTCTACCGCAAACCGAACATAAAGAAATTTGGTCTCAACAGTGACTATGCTAATGAGTGTTGTTAATGTGGAAAACCTGCTATGTAGTGCTGCTAATTTAAGTGGCTATTTTAGTAACACTGATGACCTGGGGTCACGTTCACCAGGAGCCGAGAACAAACTTCTTATTTATCGATTTTTATGTTGACATTTGTTCCAAAAGTCCAGTTATTATATTAGAGTCTCAATTATTGTTATGAACATTAGCGAAGTTCAAATATGAGAAATAATTCTTAGTTAGAACTTTCGGGTTTTCAGAGCGCATTATGAGAGTTGTTATGAACATCGTGACTGAATCATTATTATCGAACAACAAACATTCAGGATATATCATTGTACAAGATTCATGATTTATTTGTGTATACACTCTGATATCGGGAAATCGTTTATTACAAAATTTATGCACCAGCTATTCAACAGTTATTGTCATTCGCGATGATTTCACTCTGATTTGTAAGATAAATTCTCCATACTCTTCCATTACCCATGATACTGTTCGAGCCTCGTTGGTAGGTTTTTCTAGAATGTTCAAGATGTCGCTGATGTAACAAGTGTTTGTAAACCGTTCCGTTGAAATAAAACGGAGTTTGTGTTCATCGAGAACCGTGAGTTTCTTCAGTGTCACTGGGAATGGGCGAAAACCTGTATCAGAACATTAAACGTTCCCCACACTGAAAGGTGGCGACCACGACGGGAGTTACTGCACAATAGCGTTTGTGTTATACAGAACCGTGTAATACAACAGTGAGTATTATTGCCAGCTTATATAAAAAGAACTGAAACATTTGATGCGAAGTTAAAGAATACGTGAACTGTTCATACTACGCCACACAGAAATACACCAAACATGGCATTTACGGACGAGAAATTTGCAAGGCAACTAACAATAGCCAAACTCAAGCTTGAGGAAATTACTGAATTATCACAGAGTGAATGTACTGCTGATATAACAATGGCGTATGAACAAGTAGGCGAGTTACTGAAACGGCTGGAGCATTCGAGAGATCAAACAACTGAATATCTGTTAGACAAAGAATCAGAATTAGAGTATGTGAAGCAGTGGACAACAACGCAGAAAACGTCCATGCAACCAATCAGGGAGGCTCGTCAGCATATCAGAAAATTGGTTGATGATGCAACAGAGCGAGAGACACAAGGGAAACTAGAAAAGGAACTACATATCCAGCAAAGGGTGAGTGAAGAGCAATCCAAACACCGACTACGACAACAACAAGAAATTGAAGAGATAATTATTCGTCAACAAAAACGAGAGGAGGAGTGGTATTTGAGAAAACTTGATTATGAAAAACAAATACAAGCTAGACATGCTGAACAGGTGAGCAGTGGACAGTCTTTAACAGCGCCCTCTACACAAGCAGTGAAACTACAAAAGTACACTATTACTCCCTTCTCTGGTGATTACAAAGACTGGTTACGCTTTGGAATCAGTTTACTGTGGAGGTGGATGGGTCCAATATTGCTGAAGTCAGTAAATTTAATTATCTAATTGAATTGGTGAAAGACAAACCAAGAGAGGACATCTTGGGACTGCCTCACACTGCTGCAGGATATCAGGAAGCTAAGAAAATACTTCTACAAACATACGGTAAAGATATTAAAGTACACAAATCACTGATAAAAGACCTTGAGGAAATTCCAACTGTTACTAACATCCACAAATTGAATGAAGTACATGTCTTTTATAACAGGCTATCAAGAATTGTGCGTACACTCAAAACAATGAATAAACTGACTACAGCACAAAGTTCAGTATATACATTAATGGACAAACTAGATCCTGTACGTGAAGTGCTTGTACAAAAGGATGACAACTGGGAAGAATGGGGTTTAGAAGAGCTTGTTGAGAGTCTGCGGAAATATGTGGAAAGAAATCCACAGAGAGTTACTGAGGAGAATAATACTACAAAATGGAGAGATGATAAGAAAAGAAAAGATGAAAAATTGCTGCTTGGGAGTAATGGAGATCACACATCGAATCGTAAAATTAAGTGTGTGTATTGCCGTTCTGAAGATCACTCCAGTTATAGTTGTGTCAAAGTGCTCGATTTGGCCACAAGGAGAGCCATACTCCGTAGAAATCGAATGTGTTTCAACTGCACAGGAGTTGGACATCTTGCGAGTGACTGCAGATCAGGGGGATGCAGAAATTGCAAAGGAAAGCACCACACATCAATTTGTGACAGGGCAAAATCTACACTTAACGTTTCAGAGAGTGCAAAAGTAGAAAAGGGACTGAGTATCACTACACAGCATACAAGTGCGATTCATGCTACAGTCCTGAGCAAAGTTGGAACAGAGACAGTTCAAATCATGTTTGACACAGGTGCTGGTAGTTCATATGTGTGTACTGACTTGATAACACAATTGCACTTGAAACCTATAAAGAGAGAACAACGCTGTATAGAACAGATGTATGGCACTGTCAGGAAAACTGTCGAACTGTACAATATTACAATAGAATCACTAGCAGTAGGTGGGTTTTCATTTGATGTCACCTGTGTAAATGCAGAAAAGGGTGTTTTAACCCACTTACCAAACCCAAACATCAAATCACTGAAGAAACGACATGTTCGGTTTCGCAGACTGCAGTTTAGTGAGGAAGAAACGACTGAGAATCACTTGCTATTCACATCATCTTGGGAGCAGCCGACTACCAGAGGATTCGAACAACAGAACCGCTGGTGTTGGGCATAAATCCAGACAAGGATCCAGGTGCTGAGTTCACTATGTTGGGTTGGACAATTTCAGGAAAACAGTCTTCAACAGAAAGTCAAACAGAGAAGCAGTTCTTCATGAAAACCGGATATGAAGAATTTGAGAAGCTGTGCTCACTGGATGTTTTGGGAATTAGGGATGTGGATAGCAAAGAAACTTCAATGATTCATGAAGAATTTAGACAACAGTTGAGTATGACAGAACAGGGATACTACGAAACGAAACTGCCATGGAAGGAAGATCACATTCCTCTTCCTACAAACAAAGGCTTATGCACAGCTCGACTGTACAGCACATCAAAGAAACTAGAGAGAATGGGGAAATTAGAGGAGTACAATGACATTATGAGAGAACAAATAAATGAGAGAATTATTGAGCCTGCGCCATTTCATCAAACAGGGGAGGTCATTCATTATGTGCCACATCAGGCTGTTATCAGAGAGAAAGCAGAAACAACAAAGATGAGGATAGTGTACGACTGCTCAGCAAAAGCCAACACAAAAAGCCCCTCACTCAATGACTGCTTAGAGACAGGCCCCTCACTACAGCCACTACTGTTTGACATTATGATAAGGAACCGTATGCGAAAATATTGCATCAGAGGAGACATCCAGAAGGCTTTTCTTCAAATTCGAGTACACGAACAAGACAGAGATGCAATGAGAATTTTGTGGTACAACAATCTACAAGATCGTCAACTGATGGAGTACCGTTTTACACGGGTGATCTTTGGAGCAACTTCAAGTCCATATATCCTAGGAGTAACACTGCAAAAACACATTGAGAACTATACGGAAAACTATCCAATAACAGTCCAAACCCTATTGGATGATACATATGTTGACGATATTCAAGGAGGAGGAGAGACAGAACGTGATGTTGCAGTATTCAAAGAAAAATCTACCAAAATACTATCAGAAGGTGGGTTTTCACTTCACAAATGGCACAGCAACATCACCCATCTTAGCTCCAAAAACAACATAAAACATGAAGGGACTGATAACACATCAACCAGTGACACAAAGATTCTCGGTATCCCATGGAACAAGATGGAAGACACACTGATTCTTGACTTTGAGCCAGGCTTAAAAGGCAGTGAACCAACTACTAAACAGAAAATGATATCGGATATTAACAGCATTTATGACATACTTGGGTGGAGTTCACCAGTAAATATCACTGCAAAATTGATCTTCAGTGAAGTTTGTCTCCTTCAGTTACATTGGGATGAAAGGGTGCCAGAGGGAATTCACAAAAAATGGTGGATGTGGATAAAGAGCTTGCAACTAGCACCAACCATAATCATACCACGCTGTGTGTTTACCGACACACCCACAAGTTTTGAGATTCATGGATTTGCAGACGCCAGCAAAGTAGCTCTCTGTGCTGCAGTCTATGTTGTGGCATGCCGGGACTCAAAACCAGTCAGTCAGCAGTAGCTAGTTGCCAAGTTCAGAATCGCACCAAAAGACAGGAGCATCCCAAGATTGGAATTGGCAGCTGCTCATACTTTAGCTAAATTGCAGAATAATGTTTCAAAGGCACTAGCTGCATTTCCCATCACAGCCTGGAATAGTTGGGTAGACAGCACAACAGTTTTGTATTGGCTTCAAAACCACGGTGAATGGTCAACATTCGTTCGCAATCGAGTAAGAAAGATCGGAGAGCTTACAGATGCTCAGTGTAGATATGTACCGACAACAGAAAACCCAAGCGACTTAGGGACCAGAGGCACAACGCCAGACCGTCTTGGTACACTTTGGTTCAATGGGCCAAAGTGGCTTTCAAGTGAGATAGACAGACCAGTTCAACCAGAGATTTCTGAATCAGCAGGCACGAAAACAGAAAAGAGGTCAACGAAGTACAATAAAGCTATGCTTCTGACAGAAGATGAGAACGACTTGAATAAATGGGTACAAGACCTCCTGAGCCGATTTTCCTTCTGGAAGCTTTTGCGCATAACGACACACATAAAGCGTTTTGCAGACAGCTGTAGAGGGATGAGACGGATTGGGCCTCTCACTAAATCTGAGATGTCAGCAGCGGAAACAGTATGGATTAAAATGACACAACAAACAAACAGAATGACAGTCGACATTGCAATATCAGTAGATCATGACGGGATACAGAGATGCAGCAGTAGAATCCAAGGTTACAATCCAATCTACATTCCACGAAAGACAGCCTTAGCGAGACGGATAATTGAGCATTGCCATATTCTAACATTACACGGGGGAGTAGCCACAACAATGAGTAAGGTGAGAGAGAAATACTGGATTCTAAAACTGAGATCCCTAGTCAAATCAATACTACACAATTGCAACCATTGTAAAAAGTACCGTGCAAAAATGTTGGATGCACCTGTGACATCAGTTCTGCCTGCCTTCCGAACTGAATTTACTGAGCCCTTTGATGTGACAGGTGTGGACTTTGCAGGACCACTTCACTACAAATTAGGCAAGAGTGAAACGAATAAGTCTTACATCGCTCTCTTTACATGTGCAACTACCAGAGCTGTACACTTAAAGCTGTGCAGAGATATGTCAACGATAGAATTCAAACGTGGACTGAAGGAGTTTGTTGCACGGAGAGGATCACCAAGTTGTATGGTGAGTGACAATGCCAAGACATTTGTTGCGACCAAGATGTGGCTAACTAAGCTTCAGAATGATGAAGATATATTCAACTACCTCACAACAAAGGGCATTGAGTGGAGATTTAACCTGTCACGCTCTCCATGGTGGGGTGGTTTCTTTGAGAGACTCATTGGCATCACAAAAAGAGCCCTATCCAAAACTATAGGACGAGCGCTGCTGACGTTCGAAGAACTTGAGGAAGTACTGCTGGATGTAGAAGTTTTCATGAACAACAGACCATTGTGCTACATGGAGGAAGACTTAGAACAAGTAGTTATCACTCCAAATATGTTGTTACGCGGACAGCCAGCACGTTACCTAGAGGACAATGTTCATGACTTAGATGATGACATAGGCAAACGTCTAAAATACCTTAAGACCTGTAGAGAACATGTACGTAAACGTTGGTTGAATGAATATTTACATGCATTACAGGAGCGTAATACCAAGGGGTTAGAAACCAAAAAGCATGAATTGCCAGGAAAGAACTCTGTCATTCTACTGAAGGACTCAACAAAGACCCAAGCAAATTGGAAGATAGGACGCATTGTAGATACCATTGTTGGTAAGGACGGAGTGATCAGAGGATACAAAATCAAGACAGGCAGTGGCTACATCGTTGAAAGGCCACTCCAATTGGTTTGTGACCTAGAAATCAGCAATACAAATGATGAAACTCCAGTGAGTGATGATATTAAATCAGAAGAACCAGTTGGGACCCTCAAGAACCAGAATGTGAGTCGTCCAAGTCGAAAGGCAAAGACTGCTGCAGTGAACCGCTTAGTTGGTGTCATTGCAAACGAGATTGAGAACGATTAGAAAACCATGATATTAAAGTTAAGGTAACTTTAATAGGGGGAGGGTGTGGAAAACCTGCTATGTAGTGCTGCTAATTTAAGTGGCTATTTTAGTAACACTGATGACCTGGGGTCACGTTCACCAGGAGCCGAGAACAAACTTCTTATTTATCGATTTTTATGTTGACATTTGTTCCAAAAGTCTAGTTATTATATTAGAGTCTCAATTATTGTTATGAACATTAGCGAAGTTCAAATATGAGAAATAATTCTTAGTTAGAACTTTCGGGTTTTCAGAGCGCATTATGAGAGTTGTTATGAACATCGTGACTGAATTATTATTATTGAACAACAAACATTCAGGATATATCATTGTACAAGATTCGTGATTTATTTGTGTATACACTCTGATATCGGGAAATCGTTTATTACAAAATTTATGCACCAGCTATTCTACAGTTATTGTCATTCGCGATGATTTCACTCTGATTTGTAAGATAAATTCTCCATACTCTTCCATTACCCATGATACTGTTCGAGCCTCGTTGGTAGGTTTTTCTAGAATGTTCAAGATGTCGCTGATGTAACAAGTGTTTGTAAACCGTTCCGTTGAAATAAAACGGAGTTTGTGTTCATCGAGAACGGTGAGTTTCTTCAGTGTCACTGGGAATGGGCGAAAACCTGTATCAGAACATTAAACGTTCCCCACAAACTCGCTTTCACATATAATCAATTTTTCAATACTTTACTTCTCCCTAAATTCCCTAAATATAATTAAAGCTTTTGATTCGGGACTTTTATGAACAGATCTTATTCTGCAATATTCAGCAACACCCTCGGAAATAACATAACAGTCCTAAGAAAAATGTGTGTCTTAACAACAAATCTTTGTTTTCTTACCCGTCTGTCAAAGTTTCATTTCTTCGACTAATTTCTTGAAAATACAAATTCATGATACATACATTCTGTTGATACCTTTCCATTTCTGACACCATGTGCCCTACACCATCAGCAGTAATAATCATAATTACAATAGATAGTTTTATTATACTATTGGCTAGACTGTCGACAGTCGGTCGTACCTAATATTAATCTGTTATTATTAATAAATATTGTGTATAAACGTAATAGTGTGAATAAATTGCGAACGCCGGGACAGGAAGTATGAAGTGCCGTTAGGCACGACCGACTGTCCGGTGCTACA